CTGAATCCCCACCAGCCTAATTGCTCATTTCAGAATTAGAAAAGGAAGCCAAGGAAATAGGAGATGCCCCAATCCTTTCTCCCCTCACTTCTCACTTGTGCACGACAGCTGCATCATGCTCTCTTCAGCCCGAAATGTTAGCACGACTTCATTGACTTGACTACAGTTAGAGTATTTTTATCGACATTATTCCATGTAGTCATTGCAGTCATTATAAGGGCAGACATGTATCTTATTTCCTAGGTGACGAACTTGGCCTCAGATGGCTCAGTAGCCCATCCGAGGTTGGAATGATGGCTGGGCCAGGTCACCCGAGCACTCAACCTGTGCATGGGGGTTGAGCTGCCATTCGATGAACTGGCCTGTTTGGGCAGGAATGAGGTTCTATGTGCCTGGGGGTGTTGAAAGGTGGTCAAACATGGGCTGGGGACATCACAGGAGAGATTCAAGCACTGGAGAGACAGTGGGGCCAACGGCCCTTGATATTTTTTCCGAGGTTCTCTGATATTTTAGTGCCCGCAACATGGGCTTCTTCCAAACTTTATTTTCTGCTGAACTTTAGAAGTAAACAAATATCTGAAGAAGCCCATTGCTGCAAAGAAGACGAGGTAGAAGAATGCAAAAAAAAATCAATGAAGAGACTAATGAGATTTTCGAATCAAGAAAGGCGAAATTTAATTTGCATATAGGTATAACCCACACCCCACCTGGCAAGTGTTAGGCCACAGCACAAACCTCTCTGTCAGAGTCACAATTGTCAGCAGATTTGCAGAGTTACTGGACACAAACATTACGCTTCTCAAAGTAACACACGGGTCTGTCCATCATACACACAAACACACACAAATAACAAAGAAATACATTTAAATAATTCTCTGCCAAAGAGAGATGAGGATGGTAATCACGTTACCTCACATTTGGATAGCACTTTACAGTTCACAATCTAACCCATTTTGTCCTGACGACAGCCCTGTGAGGTAGGCGGCACAGGAATCACAATTAGTTCCATTTTGCAGATGAGGGAACGGGCTCGAGGAGGTTTTAGCACTGACCTAAGGTTTCCCCACTCGCAGGTGGACATCTGGGCCTCAGACTTGGCTGGGGCACCTCGGCCAGCTCTTTCATGACTGCCTTTCTAGGGAAGAACGAAGTGGGTTGTGCGAAAGACCGTGGTTCAACATCCTGTAGAACTCTTCTTTTTTCTTGGGCAGATGAGATCAAGTACAATCAGCCCTACAATTAATGGCAGGCTGTGCGGAGGCCAAGATGAATAATTTTCTCAATCATCCCTGTGTTTACACCTTCAACAAAATAGTTGTTTTCTGCCCTAGCTCTGCCCTTCCTTGATTTTTAAGTCACTTACGGCCGTGGAGAAAAATGACACTGTGATTAGATTTCATTGACTCAAGTCTTATTACCAGGATTCACATAGTGGCGCCAATAATCAAGTCATTATCTACACATACAATCTGCCGTCTTACTGAAATGAAAATGAACCATGTTCATTTATTCCTTCTGGCTGTGCACATTAGCCTGGCTCTATTCTTTAGCCATAAATAGTATATAATTTATTCCACCATGTAATATATATCCCACATATAGTATATCCTATTTCAATAGCAGTAAAAATGATAAAACATCACAGGCTGGATTTAAAAAATCTTTAAAGCAAAGAGAAAGATTTTTTTCCAGGGGGAATAAAATAAAACTTTGCAAACAAAAGCTAAATAAAATCCTTTATTTTAAAATAAAAGTTATTTGGGGGGGGATAACCCCTCTATTGCATTACTTTTTAAGTTAAGAATTTTAAAAGTGACCCAGTCATTGCCGACCCAAGTTTTTATCTTGTATAATACAGTGAGAGAAGAGGTGCTAGCCCATCATCGTATACTCCAACTGGGAATGTAACGTACTTTTCTCTTCCAAGTTATTCAGTACCTATGAGTTTCATTTGTTTTTAAGCAGTACTTTAAGACATATGAAATCTAACAAATAGTAATGGGAGCTTTGTTGGAGAGCCACTTAAAATATTGCAACAGTAGTTCAAAATTCTCTCTTTAAATCCCTTCAGAGAAACACTAAGGAGAAGTGACAACATTGTACTTCATGCTTAAACCTGTCACATATTGTATTGGCTTAAGTAAGAGATTTGTCCCTGCAGCAAAACTGGATGTCTTAGTTAATAACCAAAGGCATCTCCTAAAAGTCCCAAGATAATTTCATCAACAGTACAAAATGTGGGCATTCATCTGAAAGCATGAAATTGGCTTTTACTTCTGACTTTCTAGGTTAATTTTGCAACAATACAAGTGTTTGCCATTTGGTTGACGGGCTGACCTGCCTCCTGCTCTTAGAAGAAGAGTCTCATATAATGGAATATAGGCAGACACAGCTGGGAGTGCATGCTCCAACAATAAACACAAACTTGAAAGGCAGAAGATGGGTGCTTTAACATTCAGAAGCACTACAAATTGCTCTTGGCTATTTTAAATGTGACCAAATTGAATTTCTTAAATGCATTCTTATCCCAGATGGTCCAGAAATGGTGCATATCATCAAAAGGAGCTCCCTTGGAGGTAGAGTTCCCTCTTTTTGCAGTTCCAGCAAGTTTTCAGACTCCAGTAAGCAGGAGGGGCGTGTAACTCAAGGAAACGCTAACGGTCACCATAGCAACTGACGGTGCCCGTAGCTTACCACTGGGGGGCGCTTCCCACATTCTGCAGGAAATTGGCGAGACAGCTTTGTCACGAGCTGAGGAAACCCTGGCTCTCCAAAAGGGGAGGAGCATTTGGAAACGCCTCTATCTCTCATCTTTCTTTAGTAAGAAAGGCTGCAGTGCCTCTGGGAACATTTGTGTCGGACAAATAAGGGTCCACACGCAGAATGACCTCTTCCCGTCTGGAAGACTTTGCGGACTTCAAAGCAGAACGCATGGACCTTTCCACATGTTGTTCTGCCTGAAACTACTATGTGTGTGGTGCTGCCATTGATTTTTCGTGGTTTTTAGTCCACCTTCCAAGACTGTGTTAAGCTTTATTTTCCTTTTCTTCGGCAAGACCTCGAGATGCTTGGTGAAGCTGACATATTTATGAGTTCAAACCCTCAGTACGTGAACACTGAGATACAAGTTTCAAGTTATGCATCATTACAATCCAAACAACCCATGCTTCTTATCATGCGTCACGATGCATCAACCTCTCATTTGAGACTAAAGAGAACAAACAAGCAACTTCTTAAAAAAAAGAAAAAGAAAGCATTCATAAGTAACCCTCCTTGGGTTTAGTGCTACACTGTTGGCTAATATGAGCTATTTAAAGTATTTTTGGAATGGTCTTCAAATATTAGAAGTATTTTCTTTTACTTACTTGGTATTTCACTATATAGTTATGTACAGAGATGGCCCTTACCATGCAGGAAAAATGTACATTCTTTCCGTCTAGGGTACATTATCAACGCTAGTACTTTCACTGGGCCTTATGAGCCAGCAAGCTGAATTTATTAACCAGCCGTTAGTTCTAACAAGATCATTAAAGTGCAAAGAAGGAGGGAAAACAGCGAGACAGATCAATTTTTTCAATGTCAGAATCAATGTACTTCATGCCCCTAAGAGAAATCATCAGGTACAAGAGGCTCAGGTAACAACAACTCTGTATTTTTCCTCTTTCTTCTTTTAAAGCAGAGCTCTCCCTGAGAAGAGAAGAGGGAGGTAAACGTGAGATAGCCCTATTTCTTCCACAACCACAATCCTGGGAAAAGGAAGGTTCCTTCCCCAGCACAGACTAACCCCCGCATTGAGTCTTCAGAGAGAAGAGCTGTCAAGTGGTTGGTCCCATCTCCTATACACATAGAATATTTTCACTCATAAATATCCCAAAATTTAAAAACAAAGATGACTGGGGAAGAACTGTCTACCAACAGCACACAGACGTGTAGGTTTAAAAAAAAAAAAAAACTCACGAAACAACGTTTTAAAAAATACAACCAGTATTCATAGTGAGCGTAAAAATGGTCTGTGTAAATCAGGGAAAAATCCCACATTTCTGTGGGGAGGGTGAAGGGGAAGAGCACAACAAGGTGCAGAGATGATTTTTAAGTCTGTCTGATCACTCAGCCTAAAACCCTGTGGCAAGGTTGTGGCCTTCTGTCCCCTTCCACAGTCTCGTTGGAGAGGCGTGCAGGCCTCTCTCTGCAGACTCTGCATCTGTGTCTCTGAGAGCACCGGCTCCTTGGGCCCCACAGCCTCAGGAAGGAGCCCCAACCCCACCTGAAGACAGCCCCTGGCTGGGATCCCCCGGGGGCAAAGCCTACCGAGTTTTAAAATTTTGAACAAAGTTACGTTCACGCGGCTGTCATCGTGTCTTTCCTGTGCTGTTGCCTAAAGACCAAAAAAAGCAGTCTCAGAAATGCCATTCCTCCAGCGTAAGTAGTTAGAATGCACTAAAAACCATGCACATGCTGTAGACTGAAATTGCTCATGTGGGGGCCCATCCCTACGGAGGAAGCCTCGGCTGTTCTGGAAGCTGGTAATACAGAGAATGTGACAGAGGCAGTTATAAACCCTAAGAGAAGGTTGGTAGGCGTACCCAGGCCAGCGAAATGCCAGACGAACAGCTCGGGCCTTTTCCAGGATCCTTGTCCGCGAGCTCTAACAGAGCCCGGGCAGACTCGGAAACCGACCTTCTTACCCGCTTCCTTAAAATGCCTCCCGGCATCTCCTATATTACATTCCCTCATGAAAAATGCACCATCAGCTCTACTGAGGATCAATCTTTTCTCCTTCCCACCCCAAGTCTGAAAGCATCTGTCTTTGACCCCAAACAGCTGGGCTTCCCTGGCTGGAGACAGAATTCCAGGTCCGTTCCATCCTCTTCGGTGCGCGGAGGAGACTGGCTTTGTCTCCGTCCCCGGTCCTCACGGCGCTGTGGGAAGCATGGCATGCACAGTTCCGTCCGGCCCGCTTTCCAGGAGACGTCTACAGACTCAGGGGCGAGGCCGGACCTTCAAGCAGGGAGCCGAGGTTCAATTTTTAGTGACAGTTCATACAGCGTATCTTCATCTATGATGAGGGCTTTGTCAAGCAGGTACTGAGTGACCTGGAGGAACAGGGAAATCCTCGCTTTGGATTCTTTCAGAACAGGAGTGTGCACATTTTCTGAACGGAATCTGACACAATTCAACATTTTCTCTTGAACATTTAAAAATGTTATATCACGGTTTTAAAAATCATGAATATATTCTCATTGTACAAAAAAAAAAAGAAAAGAAAAGAAAAGAGGAAGGGAGGGGCGAGGAAGGGAAGAAGTGAAGAAGGAAAGGTAGAGAAGGAAGGAAGAACCATACATTTCCAGTTGTCTCCCAGCTCCTCACCCCAGGGACGTCCCTGAAGAGGCACCACTGTTATCATCTGGTTCGTATTCTCCAGAGTGTTCTGTCTTTCTAGATACTACATGTCCTTATAGAAATCTTTTCTTCCCTTATAATTCTCAGGTACACCTTATTCCGCTTCCGTCTCCTCAGTGTAGGTCAGGGAGAGCTCCCCATATCAGCACAGAGAATGTGAACTGCCGGACAACATCAACATGTGATCTCCCCGAGTGCATTTAACAATCTCTTACTGATGGGCGCTTAGTTGTTGTCAATATTTCACGCTTACACAAAGCGACAGTGAAATCCCTGTTAGCATATTTGCTTAGTGCTGACGTGGGAATGTTCTTTTGGGGTAGACGCTAGCAGTCAAATGAAAGGAAATGACACTAAAATAAAAATGTTGGGGCCTGAAGGATTTCTGTGGAAACACTGCTTTAATTTTATTGAGATATAACTTTTGTAAGAAAAATGGATAGTTGGATTAGTTTTAGTATAAATATCACAGTTCAGGACCATTCCCCTACCCCAACAAGTTCCCTCCTTCCGCTCCCCCGTCAGTCTGCTCCCAGGAGCGGCCCGTGCTGTGATTTCTAGCACCATGCGTTTGTTTTGTCTACTCGAGACTTTGATGGAAGTGGAAGCACACAGTCCATACTTGCGTGTCTAGCTTCTTCCGCTCAGTGTAACGGTTCGAAGTCCTTCCATGTTGTGGCGTCTACCACTAGCCTGCCCTGCCGTTGCTGAACGGTGTGGCATCCTACAGATCCGCCACATTTGTTGATCCTTTCATCTATTTATGGACACCTGGGCCGTTTCCAGGTTGGGGCTATTATTAAGAAATGCTAGGAATTTCTTCCTGGGTGGCTCAGTGGGTTAAAGCCTCTGCCTTCAGCTCAGGTCATGATCCCGGGGTCCTGGGATCGAGCCCCACATCGGGCTCTCTGCTCTGCAGGGAGCCTGCTTCCTCCTCTCTCTCTCTCTCTGCCTGCCTCTCTGCCTATTTGTGATCTCTGTCTGTCAAATAAATAAATAAATCTTAAAAAAAAAAAAAAAAAAAAGAAATGCTAGTAATGTTTTATACAAGACTTGCAGTGGGGGTGTTTTCATTTGCCCCGGGTAAATACCTAGGAGAGAGATTCCTGGGTCATAAGGTAGATGCATATTTAATGTTTCAAGCAATATCCACACAGCAGGCACAGTTTTCTAAAGAGGATGGGCCACGTTATTCCCACCAGCAAAGCAGAAGACTTGCGCTTGCTCAGTTCCTCATTTTTTAACAGATGATGCAAAGATATCCTCCCAAAGTGCTGTACCTATAGTGTGTGAGAGTTCCTGGTAGATCCCACACGCTGACGTTTGCTATGACCAATATTTTAACATTTTGTTTATCTGTCAGGTGAAAATGATGCCTCATTATAATTTCCATTTTTTTTTTTCCTTCTCCCTAGTAAAGTTGAGCATTTTAAAAATATTTACTGGCCAGTTTTGATTCTTATTCTGTGAGTTACCTCATCTGTTCAAAGCTGTGCTGATTTTTCTACTGAGTTGTGTATACTTTTCTTACAGACTTATAGGAATACTTTCCTTCTCTTTGTTTTACCTGTTACACATGTCAACTGCTGTGGGCACCTGGGTGGCTCCGCCAATGAAGTGTCCGAGTCTTGATTTCAGCTCAGATCGTGATCTCAGGGTTGTGACATTGAGCCCCTCACCAGACTCCATGCTGGGTGTGGAGCCTGCTTAAGATTCTCTCTCTCTCTCTCTCTCCCTCTGTCCTTCCCCTTGCTTGCCCCACACCCACATGCGCTGTCTCAAAAGAAAACATTTTTTTAAAAAAATCACTTCCTAATCTAAGTGGTTTTATTTTCGCTTTTTAAATTACTATCTTTTGTCACATAGAAGTTTTTTTTTTTTTAAGAGTTTATTTCTTTATTTGACAGACAGAGATCACAAGTAGGCAGAGAGAGAGAGGAGGAAGCAGGCTCCCCACTGAGCAGAGAGCCCGATGCGGGGCTCGATCCCAGGACCCTGAGATCATGACCTGAGCCAAAGACAGAGGCTTTAACCCACTGAGCCACCCAGGCGCCCCCATATAGAAGTTTTTAATTTTGATGCCGCAAACTTAATTAAGCTTATCTTTTATAGCTCATACCTTCTTTGCTTAAGAAGTTCTTTCAAATCCAAAGATTGCAGATATTTTGTACTATATTTTATTCAAATAATTTAATACTCTTATATTTAGGTAATGAACTCATCTGGATTTGTTTTGTGTGAAATGGTATCAGATGGAGAGCCAAAATTCCTATTTCCTTTATGGGACTGGTCAATTTCTTTCTGGCACTTTAAATGTCTCCTTTATTCCATATTAGATTTTCATATAGACAAATTCTGCATCTGGACTGTATCCCATCCATTGAATTTGTATTCCTATGCCAATGTAGTCCTGCATTATTCACTATAGTTTCAGGATATGTGTCTGAATCTGGTAGTGAAAGCTCTTTTTACTCTTCTTATTTTTCAAAAAATCCATTGGGTTTTTTTGGTGTGTTTTGTTTTGGTGTTTGTTTGCCTATCTGAGCTTCTTTATGAGTTTCACAATAAATTTGTCAAGTTCCATGAAATAATAAGGAAAAAATGGCTGTGAGTTTAATGGGAATCTTCCATACTACCCTCTCAATTTTTCTGTAAAGCTAAAATGATTAAAAAAATATCTATTTAAAAATGAAAAATGAAAAAAGGAAGGAAAGAAGGAAGGGTGGGTTGGTTGTGGCTGGGATGGAGGAAGAAAGGGGGTATATGATGTGAGATGAACCTTGAAAGATAAGAAGGAGCCATGTAATGTAAGATTTATTGGACACATCAAGACTTTTTCTTTCTCTATCTGAAGAGCATAAAAAACCTATAAAATATTTTACACAGGGGACAAATATATTTGACTTTATGTTCCAGAGAGTTCTATCTGGCTGCAGTTTGTAGAATGGATTTTGCGTTCTAGAGTGAATGCAAGTAGACCAGGTAACAGACCAGGTAGCTTGGACCAGGGTGGTAATGGTGTAGACAGATTTATGAGAAATATAGAACATACCATCAATAGAGCTTGAGAAACTGATATTCTTTTTGCCTTCTTTATTTCCCAATTAGAGTTGCCAAAGATTTGTCAATTTTCTTGGTCTTTCCCGTGAGTCAGCTTTTGATATTATCAATCCACTTTACCACTGTTTCTAATTCATTAATTTTCACTTTTTTCTTTATTAAGTCCCTTAACAACCATACAATGTTACCTTTGGCTGATGGTCTATTCGATAGCAAGTCTGCTGGAATTGGCGTATCTCTCTGATGATGTGTGATATCTGAGAGAGAAACCATCACAACAAAATCAAAGCCCAAGTATTTCCTTGTATTGCAACACATTCTTCCAGGCCCTATCCACAGGTCATCACACACTTTCTCCAGTGAAATGTCAGAGCCCTGCCCTATCATTTTCTATGCCCAGCCAGGGCTGTCTTGTCCTTCCATGAGCCACATGAAATGCAAACGGCAAGAAGATACTGACTTCACAATCGGGAACAGCTGGCACTGGGTGACCTCAGGTCCAGCAGTGGCAAGCTCTTGGGTGTTACTGACCTTGGGCTCCTTGTTCTAACTTGGTGCTTAGAACCTGGTTGTCCAGCAAGAAGCCTTCAGCATCTGTCTGTCACTACCCTGTCTCAGGAAGTTATTCCTGGAGCTTTATTGCCCCACCCCTTTGCCCAGACTGCATGCAAGCTGAAATACCTCTGCTGAAAATTGCATCGATCAGTCACATCAGCAAGGAAACCCAGTGTCCCCCATCCCTTCTAGCTCAAAATGTAAAAGCAAACAGTGACCTCCGTGACTTAGCCTCTTCTCTCGAAGCCACTGACGTCACTGAAACAGGCTTCTGATGAAATGATCACCTACCATTCTCATCTTGGAGAAATTAACAAGGCCTTCTTCGGTAAAGTTTGGTGTTCCCTCTTCAATAAATGCCAGGTCTGTCAGGTACATCCCCAGATAAGGAACAGCTGGGGGGTTACAGCTGCAAAACCAAGAGACACTGTTCTCAAGCTCATTCACACAAATAGCGACTCCCCTCCCGTGTTTCACAGGAAGCAAGCACGCTGCTTCAACCCTGAAGAACAAAGTCTTTTAATTCTGTCTGCACAAGCACACTCACGATATTATGAGTTTTCAGTACATCTCACAACACAATAGAACAGAAAATTATAGCCTGTGTTGTACCATGTGCCTGAGACAATGGCATATTCAAACCACAGGATGTCTTACAGACAAATACCAAGTATGTGCTAGCGGTACTTGTCTGCGGTACTTATGCACGGGCCGCGCTTCCCCAGGGAGTAAGAGCATGGAGGAATCTTCAAGAACTGGGTAGAAAAATCAATGTCATTAGAGCTTGTAAAGCTTGTTTTCTGCTTTCATTAGTGTTTCAATGTTTTAGAGGGTATAGACCTAATGAATATCACCACTGCACTCTAAAGTGATGCCTTCTTTGTTGTGTTTTTTGATGGGGGGTATCTTGGTCTTCTCAAAGTCAAGAGTTTGGAGGACACAGGCGTTTGAGCCAGAGAGAACTGGGTCTGAGTTCCAGCATGACCACTTGCTAAGGGATGATGGCAAACTCTGTGAACCACAGTTTCCTCGTGTGTTTAGATTAATAAATACCAAATTAAGAAACTTTTTACAGTAAAAGATGGTTTGATTTTAGAGTAAAAGACCATGATATTTTCTTCTTATCTGGGATCATCCGCATGCCACCAGTAGGTCCACAGGACACTTACTGTATGCACAATATTTCAAATGTCCCGAAAAATCAGGAAAATACCAAGATGATGGAAGTTGTTGCCCATTTGTTTTTCTTTTCAAAGCCAAGAAGGAGGTAGGCCACTATTTGTATACTGTATACATTTTTAAAATACATTTCTGAATTATAAATGACTTAATAATTAAGATAAACTTACTTTTTAAGGGTTTCTCTGAGATTTTTAAATCTTCCTTCAGATGAAACAGTTTTCTGAAGCTTGTCCATGAGAGCTTTTGTCTGGAAAGAAATGAACAACTTAGCTTGCCGTGAAAACACTCCTGTGGTTTGACAAAGAGATCCTCAGTTCCCTTCCAGAGTGGCAGATGCTGATGCCTTTATCAGACCGTTGTGATGTGATATGATTTTTGAAATACGGACACGGGGCATTATGACTGAATTTGATGTTTAAAAAAAAAACTTGTGGAGAAGAGAAAGTGACTATACTGCTCGTTTAGCCAAAAAGTGGAAAAGGTGTAGAAAAGAAAAAGTGCGATGCACGAGAAATTAGGGACTTAAATGATCGATAAAGCACACGTTGACTTAGGGAATCTTAAATGGGAGGTCTCATGCCAGGTGGTTTTCACGGTCAGTCTTTTCGGGTGATAATTTCCAAATCACCAAGACACAGATTTGGTTCCTTAGCTATCTTCTGCTACAAACCCTTTGTTTTGTGATCATCTTTCTCAACTTGCTAGAAAAGCATAACTGACATTTTCCAAGAAATAAAACTGCTGTTGACACTGATCTGGACTTTCTCGAATGGACGCGGGAGACCGGGAAGGGGGCACTTGGGGATGATGACCCACTCCCGGTAATACCCAGGCGGGCTGGCAGGAAAAGCACTTGGAATGCCCAGTTTGCGACTCTTCAGACTACTCTGTCTCGGTATGGGGAACAGCTGCACGCTTCATGACAGCTTTCAGAATGACTCAAAGGGGTACCTTCCCCACCCTGGTTCCTGAGGACTCTGGAAGAAGATAGCCAGCAAGGCCTGGGGAGGGACGGCGGGGTGAGGAAGACGGGATGGGGCCTGGGTGGGCTTCCTGCCTGGCCCAGAGCTGGCCTTGGGCTGAAGGAAGCTGTGCAAATTGAGTCTGTCCTAGAGCCACAGACCGAATTTGGTGGGCTTCAAACTGCCCAGTCTACCATGCCTTCTGGATGTCTCCCTGTCTGGACTCAGATCTAAAGAAGAGAGAGCCGCAGAGCAGACGGTGTGATGAAAGAATCTGAAGGAGGCCATATCTGTAACCAGGCACTCCCGATGGTGACTAGACCCAGGTCCTGGGCCCGGGACGATAGCCTAGCACTTCTTTGAAAGCCACTTGGAGTGATGCATTCATGGGATTGAAATGGTATATTCTACTTAACACCTCTACAGGTGGTACATTCAAATTTGAAAAAAATATTTAATATCAGTCTTATCACCCCTATTCCAGGGTCAGTTATCCCTAAAGCTGCATCCTGTCAAAGACATGGGTATCACCTGAGTCAACAACAGGAGAAGTTTAATGTTTTCTTTTCTTTTTTTTTTTAAAGGTTTTATTTATTGGACAGAGAGAGGACACAGCAAGAGAGGGAACACAAGCAGGGGGAGTGGAAGAAGGAGAAGCAGGCTTCCCGCTGAACAGGGACCCCAATATGGGGCTCAATCCCAGGACCCAGGGACCATGACCTGAGCCGAAGGCAGAGGCTTAATGACTGAACCACGCAGGCACCCCTCTTTTTTTTTTTTTCTCAAGTTTTTATTTAAATTCCAGCTAGTTGACATACAGTGTAATATCAGTTTCAGGTGCAGAATTCAGTGATTCATCACTTTCATACAATACCCGGTGCTCATCACAAGTAACCTCCTTAATGCCCACCACCTGTTTAATCTACCTCCTCCCTCTCTTGGCCCCCCCACCCCCGCCACAGTCCACTTTCCCTCCAATAACCTTTAGTTTGTTCTCTACAGTTAAGAGTCTGTTTCTTGGTTTGCCTCTCTCTTTTTTTCCCTCACAATGTTCATCTGTTTTGTTTCTTAAATTCCACATATAAGTGAAATCATATGGTATTTGTCTTTCTCTGACTGACTTATTTTGCTTGGCATAACACTCTCTAGCTCCATCCATGTCATTGCAAAAAGCAACATTTCTTTCTTTTTTGTGGATAATATTCCACTGTGTGTGTGTGTGTGTGTGTGTGTGTGTATACATACATTCTGCATCTCCTTTATCCATTCATCAGTCAATGGACATTGGGCTGTTTCCATAATCTGGCTATTGTTGATAATGCTGCTATAAACATCAGGGTGCAGGTAGCCCTTTTGAGTGGGCACTTTTGTATCCACTGGGTAAATACCAGGTAGTGCAATTGCTGGCTCACAGGACTAATGTTTTCTTAAAGAAGATTTATGAATCCCTTGGTACCAACCTCAGATGAAAAAAGAAATAGGGGAGAGAGAATGAAAGAGAAGACAGAGGAATGACTTACTGACCTTGACGAAGTGTGACAGTGTGTGTGACCAGATAAAATGCTCTTTGTATCCAGTGCCCAATGGCAAGGGTTACCATTGCCTTACGAGGAGGCAAAAGTGAGCCACAACAAGGGTATTGGTATCCAGTTTTTAGATTCTGATATAGCTGTTTGAAGCCCATTTTAAAAACAGTATTCTGACACCATTCATCATAAAATCTATCAAAAAACTAGGAAGAGGGAGTAGTTTCCTCAGTTTTATAAAAGCATTTACAAAATACCTATAGCTAGCATGATCCTTAATGGTGAAAGACTGAATGCTTTCCCCACAAGACTGAGAACAAGGAGAGAATGTCCTTTCTCACCAGCCTTATTCAACATAGTATTCGAAGTTTAGCTAAAGCAATAAGGCAAGAAAAGGAAATAAAAGGCATGAATTAGAAAGAAAGAAGTAAAATAGTTCCTATTTACAGGTGACAACGGTCTGTGTAGAAAAATCCCAGGGACTCTATAAAAGAGCCTCTAGAACTGATCAATGAGTTTGGCAAAGTTGGAGATAGAGGACAAATACCAAAAAAATCAATGACATTGATTAAATTAAAATTAAAAATTAAAACCACAGTGACATTTAAAATTTCTCCAAAGAAAATGAAATATTTAGGCATAAATCTAAAAAATTTACACAGAACTTATATGCTGAAAATTTCAAAATGCTGATTTAAGAAAGCAAAGAAATCCTAAAGAAATGGAAAGACAGACTGTGTGGACTGGAAGACTCAACAGAATAAAGATGTCAGTTCTCCTCAAATTGATTGGTTTACTGAAATTCCAATAAAAGTGTCAGTAAAGGTTTTTAGACATTTTTTTTTTTACAAAATTTATATGGAAAGTCGCAGCACCTGGAGTAGCTAAAATAATTTTACAATAAAGTGGGAGGGATATAGAAAGAACTCACAGATCTCAAAGGTAAAAAAAAAAAAAATCTAATTAAAAAATGAGCTGCAGACATTTCATTGAAGAGGATAAACAGATGGCAAACCAGCATATGAAAAGATGTTTAACATCACTAGCCATTAGGGAAATGCAAATTGAAACAATAATGAGATATCAAAATGGCTAAAATAAAAAAACAGTGATAACACCAAATGCGGGCAAGAATTTGGAAAAACTGGGGGATCCATACTTTGCTGATACAAGTATAAAATGGTACAGCCACTCTGGAAAAGAATTCGACAGTTTCTTATAAAACTAAACACAATTACCATCTGATCCAGCATTTGCACGCTTGGGCATTTATCCCAGAGAAACGAAAACTCAGAGTCACACAAAACCTATACGTGAATGTGCCTAACAGCTTTATTTGTAACAGCCCCAAACTGAAAACAACAACCCAGATGTTCTTCAAGGGGTGAATGGTTAAAATGTCCTATATTTCTATCATGAGGACTACTTAGCAATAAAAAGAAACAAAGTATTGATACATGAAATACAAAATATCAATTTCTATTGATAGGGAATTTTTAAAAAGGCAATCTCAAAATGTCATCTACCATATGATTCTATTTATATAATGCCCTTGAAGTGACAACATTTTATAGAGATTGAAAACAGATTTTTGGTCGCCAGAGTTAGGGAAGGGGCAGGGAGGAAGTGGCTATGGCTATGGAAGGTGGCAGGGGGGATCCCGGTCACAGCACTGTGTTGTATCTTGACTGCAGGGGTGATCAAAGTGCATAGCAGTAAACACACACAGGCCCAAATGAGCACATACGTAAAACAGATCGTCTGAATAAGGTTAGTGATGTTACCAATGTTAACTTTGTGGTTGGGATGTTTAGTTACACAAGAGGTTACTGTGGGGGGCACTAGGTATAGGGTGTAGGGGATTTCTACTATTTCTTCCAAAGTATATGTGAACCTACATGATCCCAACATAAAAAGGTTTTTTTGTTTTGTTTTGTTTTGTTTTAAATAGAACTTAAAAAAGCTGTGGCGAGGCCCAGGCTTTGATCACAGATAAAAGAATTTGCCTCTGGCACCAGGAGGACATGGCGGAGTCTGGAAAATTCCCTCAACGCTGTTTGAGAGGGCCGGGTAGTTATCTGCTAAAGAAGAGTCAGCCTGCCCATAAGGGAGCACCAAGGACAGGACAGCCTCTAGGAGAGGTAGGACATACCCAGTCTCAGAGAAGCCGGTGGGAGCCAGTGAGAGCTGTAGGGCAGATGAGGTCAGCTAAGGCCCCCTGTTCCTGGGCAGGCCAGGCAGAACACGAACACAAACACGAACACGAACGAACACACACACACACACACACACACCCACCCAGACACCCACGCAGGCAATTCACTGGGGCTTGGAGCCGGCAACCAAGTAGGAGAAGACTGCACCAGGAGACCAGTCAGTGCACACTGCCTCCCAGAAGCCCAAAGGAGCCCTCCCCAGCCCTCCCCAGCACCCAGGGAGGAGGCCAGGAAAAAGGGCAGCAGGGAGACTGTGATTTCATTTGAATCGTGAAAAAATCGAATGAAAACAATAGGCATGAACAAGCTGAGTCCCATTAAAAGGAAATTAAGAACACCTCCTTAAAAAAAAAAAAAAAAAGAATGCTTCCTGCACACCTTGTTTTTATGCCAAAAGTTTACTACATAAATGACCAAAACCAAAAACCAAAAACCAACAACAGTGAACGTTGAGTCCCTAGGGCATTTATACGTTTACTTTGGGGAGAAAGAATGCACCCGCCAGGCACTGCTGTGTTCACTCGGAATTCACAGGCCTTCTCTAAATAATTTAGGAGACAACTTCTGACTGGCAACTGCACCGTTTGAGGTTGTCCCCAAATATGTTATAATGAATGTTTGGGGTTGTATTTGTTTTTCTAAATTAACCAATTAGAAGTGCACATGAGTGGAATCAATTAAGTGGTAAGAACACAGTAATTACCCACATTGGCACCTTTCTTTGGCAACTGAGCTGCTTGATGTGGTTAATTATTTTCTAATTCTTCATATTTCCCTCGGCTCTGGGCTCTGGTCCCCCGGCCTCTCCTCTCAGCAGCGGGTGGGGGACACGCCGGCGCTCACCTGCTTAGACACCTTGGCCCAGGTTTTCTTCAGCCTGTAGATGGCGCTTCTGTTTAAGGCTGAGGTGATCTCCAGCACGCCATTGTAGTTGTGCAGGCAGCGACAAATGTCCGCCACGGCCACCCACTTCTCTATCGCGTTGGCACGGGAGCTGACATCGGCATAATTCATTATCTGGGAGGCCACCAGGTTACTCATCTGAGACAACGCAAAAGGCAAGAGAGGCCAGCTAAGAGCCCAAGAAATGCATTCAGGCAAAGCACCTGACTCACCCCATAGAAATGTCAGGAAAATAGGGTGGCAAGGGACATGGAGGTCAATGTCCACATTTAGATACCAACTTTCTGAAGAGACTAAAATGTGTAGTAATGATAATAGCAACAAGAAACCAATGGGAACCTGTTCATCCTCAGAGTGAACAGAGAGGGACTGTTGGGAATCCTTATGTTGGGGGAACAGGTCATTTTTTTTGTTTTTTAATGAATAATTTTGATGAGGGAGTTATTTCTAGTAACTATTGAGGAAATGGAAAAGAATGAGCTAACTCCGGAGGAATGGCAAACTTTGCTGACGATGGATTCACTCCTTGGGGCCTCTCCACATGAGGTCCTTCACCCCTGACGTGTGAACCAGGAAGGCCCAATTGCCACAGAAAAAGAAAACACACTGACCCCCAAGCAAATCAAACTGTAACCTGATCAGGTCTCAAGTCAGACACATTTAGGGACAGGGGAAGAGAGAACATTTATTCCTTATCTCGCTGGATTTTCCCCACCAGAGCGAATAGGACCTATAGTTTCAAGGGTAAGTACGATTACGCTATTAGATAAAACCAAGAGAAAAAGAGGCAGCTGGCACCGCCCAACACTTAGCATACAGAAAGGGAAAGGACAGTTTAGGATTGATTACTAACAAAGGAAATGCAAGGTCTGTAATCTTATATCCATACACTGAATCTGGTGAGTGTACCGATTCTCTGACAATTCCATAGATCTTACAGTGTCTCAGAATTGTACATATTCATTAAAAAATTATTTTATACTGAGAACCTAGAATGGACTAGGCATTCTTTTAGGTTCTGAGAAAAGGAAACACCAATAAATCAGCATCCCTGACCTCAAGCCACTGAGCCTTGTTAGGCAGAAACATGAAGGGAGGCAGACACAAATAAATATCACATAATGAAAGGCAAAGCTAAGTCTTCATGGAGGGGTTTGAGGACATGGAGGTCATGGGGTTATCTGGCCTCACAGAGAGGAGGCTTCCAGAAAGAGGTCATCCCTGCCATGAGTCCTAAAGGATGAGGAGGAGCTAGCAACTGCTTTTCGTCAGAGGAGACCATCTGGAAATGGACGGAGGTAGAAGGCACAGTGTAACAGGGGATCTGGCAGTTGTCTGAGGAGCACAGGGAAGCCACAAGAGAGACACGGAAGCCTGATAGGCAGGGCTCTTGTAGGCCACGTTGAGCCGCTGGGACTGTATCCTGAAGGTGAGAGGAAGCCGCTGACCGTATTTTGTCGTGAAAGTGATATAAACAGATTGGTCTTTCAGAAAAGTTTTTTTTCTGTGACACTGTGTGAAGAATGGGTTTGGGGGCAAGGAGGTGACCGTCGGGATAGTGAGGTAGGAGCTCTCGGAGAAAAGGATGAAAGGTTAAATCAAGGTTGAATCAAGGCAGTAGGAAAGTAGGAGAAAATAGTCTGGGACATACGTAGATTTCAGGCTGATTCGTATATTGGGCAGTGAGGTGGTGTGGGTGACACAGAGTCAGAGATGCCCTCTAAATTCTGTGTTTGGGTGAGTGAGTGTGTGGTCTGGGCCACACACTCTGGGCCAAGGCTAAGAACATCGCAGAAGATGAAGAAGTAGGCGGGGCAGGTCTGGAAGGTACTAAGGATCAGGAGACCCATTTGCAATCTGTTGAAGGCACAGTGCAAGTAGCCATCCAAGCGGGGACCTGAGGGTCTGGAACCTGGGAGGGAACTTCTCATTTGATTGTTCATTATATTCCAAGTGTATGTACAGCACAGAAAACAGAAGTCCACTTCCTAAGCAGGGCCTCTGCTTCTCAGAGAGGAGCCGGAGGGCTCCTGTGTCCTGTCCCGTAGGCAGCAGTGGCATGGGTGCTCCTCGTGGGGTAACATCCACGGAGCACACGTGTAACCTGCAGGTACCCTGCACAAAGCACTGTCTTGGGAATCTACGTTGTTGTTTTTTATTGTGAGGCTGAACGACTTATTAATTTACCTACAGGGAAACCTTGTAGTCTTTTTTAACATCATTATCCCTTTTATTGTTTTTCAGTAGAACCGGAAAGGGAGCCTTCCCTTTGCCTAGCTAAGCCTCAAGATACTCCCACATATGCGGTTCTGTCAAAGGATGAAGATCATTAGAACAGAACTGATTAGGAGTCGGTGGGTATAAAAGTAGCTCCGTCTTACTGCTGGAGAAAAGCAGAGCAGGGAGATGGACCGACAGCTGGTCACCAGCACGCACAGCTGCAGTACCACTGTAATTACGCTCGAAGCGGTCCCTTCCAACCCTGGAATGCATATGCGCTGAGTGTTCAGTAATAATGAGGATGATTTGTACTAACCCAACCTTACTGTCACCAGCACCACCGGGGTCCAGTGACACATGTGCTAGTACAACTAGTCAGTGTTTCACCACGACGTAATGATGATTGTAACAGCAATACCAGCAGCAATCTATGCATTATTGAGCATTTACCAGACTTGAGTTTCATCAGAAGTGAACCTCTCATGTCTGGAAGTTAACTAGAAATTATTACATCACTGTGAGCTCTTAGAGAAGATTGAAGATTTAAAAAAAAAAACAACAACAAAAAACTTTCATCAGTTTTGTTTAAAAAGTGGGGGGCAGACTTGCTTTATTTTTGGGAAGGAGTCGTAAGACCTTGATACTCAGCTTCCTATACCATGCCCAAGTTTTATTCTTATGGTTACTCACATCATTGAAGTGCTGGCTGGTTTTCATAATGTAAGGTGTTCTTTCATTTTTATCCAGCTTCATCCACCCCTGCCCAAGAAATTCTCTGTAAGTTCAAAGCAGAACAGAAAACCAGTTAAGTTTTTAAAGTGGCGACCATGATCCTGAACTATGAGTACGAATATTATATACATTAAATTTGACCATCTCAAATGAATTTTGGCTCATCTCCAGCATTTTACCACTCAATGCCAAAAAGAAAAAGATTTTTCAATTTCCACCTTTCTCTTATAAATGTTTAGAATTTTGTCCTTATTAGGATCAAGATAAAGGCTCCTCTGAAATTGGAACACAATGACCATCACAAGAAGAATAAAGGCATTAAGTACTAACTCAGGAACCAAGACTATTTTCCCTGGATCGGCTTAAAAAAATTTTAAGCCTTAGCAGAAGGGCTGAAAAATCCATCACTACCAAAAATATTTATTAGGAACAACGTGTGTTCCTCCACTTTGCTCTGATATTCTCCAGGACGATGTCAAATCCTCGAGCAGGGATTTCCCTCTGCTCGGCCAAGAGCCCAGAACAGGACACATGGTGAAGGCCGCATAAACACTTGTTACCACTTCATACGGGGAAGGCAGTTCCAGTGGTAGGAGCTCAGCCTGCTGGAAGGTCTGTCTTCTGAGTAAGATCCCTGCCCCTTCCCTTGGCTCCCAAGCAGCCCACCAGATCACAGCAAGCAACGGACAGGCAAGCTGGGGCATACGGCAAGTGTTTTGTATTGGCTTCACAAAAGAGAACCTGAAGTGACATTACTCTGACACAGTCTTAATCCAGAAATGTGGAGTGAGTTCCTGCAAAAGGTTTTTTTGTTCCTCCAAGTTCCCGCAGGGCTGTTGGATGTAAAGGTATGGCAGTTCCACAGATGAAAATAATGGGTAGATGTCCAAGCCAGCAGGGAGGGGAGGAGAGGAAGAGAGAGTCCCAGGAAGAGACTGACCATGGGGGTTTGGCCTTTGCTCTTTCTCCTCCTCCACAGAGCTAAGTCAGGTTCATCTCCCCCTCCCCGAATCCCCACAGACTAGAGGCGCGTCAGGAGGTGGGGAGAGGCACTGTGGTTTCTTTTTCTCTTAGAGGGAGAGAGGGAGAGAGAGAGAGAGAGAGAGAGAGAGAGAGAGAGAGAGAGAAAGTTGGGGAAGGGCAGAGGGAGAAAGAGAGAGAATCTCAAGGAGGATCCATGCCCAGGGCTGAGCCCAGAGAGTCAATCTCATGACCCTGACATCATGATCTGAGCCAAAATCAAGAGTTGGACGCTTAGCTGACAGAGCCCCTCCCAAGTGCCCCATGGCACTTGTGGTTTCTAACTCAAGACTTCAAGTAGTCACTGGGTCCTTTTGGATAGCCAATAGTCCACATTTCATTCCCCCCAACCTCATTCATCAACGGAGATGGGGAGGGTGAGAAGATACACCATCTAAAGAACAGCCTGCAGGGCATCTTCTGGCCTGGGCCCTTATGCCTCTCTGACCGCCCACCGCCGCGCCTGACCCCCCAGCATCATCATGGCCTCTTCCCTACCTGCGACACGGGTCACATGTGTATCTCTTGCCCAGCCCCTCCTTTATCCTTCATTTAGCTATTTCAAGGACGTGGGCCAACAGTAGCCATTTGTCCAAAGACCTTGCTTGTGGAGCTCCTGATTTTGCAGTGGGAAGGGACTACAGGCCCCCTCATGCTCTACGTGAGAAGGCTGAAGCGTGACACGGCCACTTATCATGGGGCAGCTGACGCCCCAGGGCTCTGCTCTGCACGCACTCAGGGAGCACTCCATAGCGGGAATCTAGCCACACTGTGTCGCAGAGTCTCATAGGTCAGCAATACCTGTTGACTCGTGGGAGCGGGTGAGGAGTTGTAGCCGAATTCCCAGATTTTACCCATCATCAGTGCTTCTCAAAGTATAGTCAGATCACACAGTAGCATCTGGGATTCTCATGGAAAATGCCATTTTCCTGGCCTCAAACCTACTAGAACCCAAATCTCTTAAGGGGATATCTAGGAATGTACATGTTTAACAAGCTTCCCAAAGGACTGCGGGCACCACGCAGTTCGAGAACTATGGTTGCAGCCATAGTGACGTTCCTATAATCAAGGGGGTGAGAATACAAAGAAATTCCCATTCCATGGAAACTGCTACACAGAGAGAAACATCCTGACAGTCCCCGGTGTCTCCAAAGCCATATTTCTAACATAAACTGGGACCAAAAGGCATTGGAGTCAGACCAAACCACCCTAAGATTAAGACTCACACCTCTGTGCACACACATCTGCCTGAGGAGTAATGGCAGCTCTAAGCCCCCGGGGCCTGCCTGAGGGGCCAGCAGCGGGGAGGGCCGCACTCACTCGTAGGGAATGCTTCTGAAGACGATGTGGTCCAGGAGGGTGATCTGCTCAGCCAGCTCCATGGCTGACAAGGTCTCAAAGCACTCAGCCTTCGGACAGTCTGCCTGCAAGAGAGGAAGGTGGGGATGACACGCGCTGAGACCCCGTGCCCGCAGCCGCTCAAGGACAATGTCCCTCAGGGATTCCAGCCTCGAAGACAATGGCAGAAGGCTCGGAAATACCAGCCAGCATTCACAGCAGGGACCAAGTGCTGACCCCCGAGGCGAATCTAGGTCGTCTCACTGTGCTTCACCGAGAACGGTGCTGGAGCCCCCAGTGCTCAGTCATGGCCCTAACAGTGCTCACCTTTGAGAGGGAGTCTGCACACAGTTGTGCTGGATGAGACCACGGCTGGACTTACCAGTTGAATTATATCCTCTAATTTTAGGTGGATGTCATCTTGATCATCTTGGGAAAGGGCCCTAAAATAAATAAGTAAGTAAGTAAGTAAATAAATAAATAAATAAATAAATAAATATATCCTCCATGAAAAGAAAACAGGCATGCCAGGAATGAAATGACCATGAGCAGTTCGGTTTTCCCTGGCTGGCAAGCTGGAGGGTTTGGGGTCCACAAGGCTGTGCCGCCAGCTGGAGGCTCCAGAGACATGAGCTGGAGACGGGAGGTCAAAGAAAGAGAAAAACGCATGTGTTAAAGACACAGGAGGATCGCTGAGAGGGCTGGCTTAGCCCAGGGAGCCAACTTGTTACATACAAGGTGGTAAATAAGACACCCACCATCAAAGCCTCCCCATCCCCGTGCACCTGTGCACCAGAAATTCAGGGGAGTTCCTGGGGGACAAGAATTTGAACGACACAAGGCAGCAGCCAGCAGGTAAACTCTTTTCCCTTGATTCCCAGATGGCCTTTCCTGAGACACATTTGGTGCTGTAGCCCCACACACATAGCTACTCAGCTCACAATATATTTTTTTTTCTAGTGATGAATGACTGCATAAATACCTAAGTTAATTAATCCTGAAGTGGGTGCTGGTTTCAGAGTGGGAGTGATATTTCATGTCCAACAGAAGTTCAGAGTCCAGGAGAATGATACTGATTATATAACTTGCCATCTGGGCCAAGCATTTTAAGTTCGCCAAAACGAAGGCATGATCATATATTAGAAGTAATAAAATGTTTCAACGCTCCCAAGCCATGTAGCCTGTCTCCTAGAGGGGGGTAGTTTTCAAAGAAATAATGACGTGATGTTCACAGTTCTCTGAACTGATGAAAATAAAACTCAAAAATACGAAATCGACAGAGATGGGTGACTGTACACTCCCCACGTGCTGGCCACGTGTGAGCCATCGGACATACACTCTCTCGTAGCGTAAAAAGTTCCTTCCAAGTAAGCACTCTGATCTCCATTTCACAGATGAGGAAACCAAAGTTCAGACGAACTAACTTTCCCAGGGTTCGGTCAGTGAGCTGTCCTGTTGCTCTCGCCTGTCTTAGGCAGTCATGTGAAGGCACCTCTTCAAGGATCCAGCACAGAACACATCCAAAAAAGCCCAGTCTCCTTCCTCTCTCTTCCTCTCTTACAAAAGCTCTTGGCTGTTCACCAGGGAGAAGATTCCTTCTAGAGTAAAGGAGTGGCTGTCTTCTTGTCAGCAATGAGCCGTATCATTTGTCAGCGGAAAGAAATACTCATCACATGAGAAAAGGCAGATGAAGGTGAGGAAAAAAATAAGCAAATGCAAGTCTTTCTCCAAAGACTATTAAATCACACTTAAGGATTCCACATAGGGGATAAAAGCAGCTCTTTCCCAAAGTTTATGTCATTCTTTCCAGGGTAGTCTAGGTTCCTGGAGAGAGTTCAGTAGCCACATAACTATCTGTACCGATGGAAAAGATCTTTCTTTTTTCTTTCTTTTATGACGTTGGGCAATTGTTTTTCCTTGGAAAGAAGTGGTCAGGATGTTGGTTAGCTTCTATCAAATGTTCCTTTCATCAGTGATCTCACGCTAATGTTCCAAGATGTGTCCTGGTCCTGTTCAATTATCTAATGTCTTCTCTTTTCCCAAATGCCTATTGATGCTTCTTGGGACTTTGTGAGGTTTGTGGGTAACCTTTTCATGACCTAAACCCACTCCAGCTGCCCACCCATGAAGTCAGTCATCGCTTGTTTTTGTTTTTTGGTTGTTTTTTTTTTTTTTTCATTTTATGGCATGTTAGTTGTCTACCAAGATCTATATCTACATAGATTCAGAAACCAGCTAGTCAGACAACATTGGAGAGGAAGTGGTATTTTAGAAACAGAAAAGTCTTGAGCAGAGGTCTTTTTTTTTTTTTTTTTTAAAGATTTATTTATTTATTTAACAGAGAAAGACAGTGAAGGAGGGAACACACAAGTGGGGTAGTAGGAGAGGGAGAAGCAGGCTTCCCGCCGAGCAGGGAGCCTGAGGCGGGGCTTGATCCCAGGACGCTGGGATCGTGACCAGAGCCAAAGGCAGACTTAACTGACTGAGCCATCCAGGCACCCCTTGAGCAGAAGTTTTTAGTCACAAACAAGACAAAAAACTATGTATGCCCTTTAAGCTTCTTCATTATAAAGTAACCCCTGTGAGACAGAAATGGTTTATTACTGGGAGCTTTCAGTTTCCTGTGTAAATGTAATGTATGTTTAAATACATTTCGTGTTTACATCTCGGTATTATACAGCTTGACTGCAATACCTCTCTAATGTCAGGGCTCCATTTGACTACAGTGTGATATGTCTTTATCTCTCACAGCCACAACTTGTATTCGCTGGGAGGTATGTTCATAAATTTTCCCTTAGAGGGAAGGTCTCTCTACCTCTGGCCCAGCTCCAATAGAGGACAGACGTGTTTCTAGTCTTCAGACTGTCTTCGTGCATTAATGGACAAGCCAAGACACTGGGCTCCTTTCACATCTCCCAGTCAGCGTGATCAGTTAAAAATATGTGCATTTATAACGAAATGCCAAATAAAACATTTAAAAGGAAATAGGATTATTCACGTTCTGCAACTGGAAAAGTCCTCTTACAACAGTGGAAATCAGATAGGCTTAAAAACAGAGCCAGGAGCAATTGGCCTCTGTCCCTAGACTGGTCCACACTCTCTGGGCGGACTACATGCTGCTGAGACTGGCAGGCTTACGCCCATGGCATGACCTGCCTCCGTCTCTGCTCCTCCTCACTTTGTGATTGATTTAATTGCTTGTAGCGTCACCTGCTGGGACCTGCCAGACCACCCCTTCCTTCCTTTGCTTTCTTGGGCATGGCTTTCCTTCCTTCCAGGCTTACTTGAGCCCATTGCTACCTATGCTCTGGCATATTTTTTTAAAAAGTCAGATGTCCACAAATGCATGGAAACCTTGAGTACTAAAGTCTCCTGGTTTTGGTTGGAAATAATTCCCTGTTTGTTTCCAAATTAAGAAATAAAGTAACAGGGCACCTGGGTGGCTCAGCGGGTTAAGCCTCCGCCTTCAGCTCAGGTCATGATCTCAGGGTCCGGGGATCGAGCCCCGCATCCGGCTCTCTGCTCAACAGGGAGCCTGCTTCCCTCTCTCTCTGCCTGCCTCTCTGCCTACTTGTGATCTCGCTTTCTGTCAAATAAATAAATAAAATCTTAAAAAAAAAGAAAGTAACAGAAACATCTTTATAATTTTCCACATAATTATTATTATTTTATATAATTGTCATATAATTATTGTAATTTTCATATAATTATTAAATAATCCTTCTGATTATTTATTATACTCCATGATGGTATTTTTTTCACAAAGAATTTCATGAATGAATCATGGCATTCCATCAGTGATGGTTATATTGAGGTCTTACCTCCTACTCTACTTTCTAATCATTCTGACATGATTTTAAAAATATAAATATGGGGGCGCCTGGGTGGCTCAGTGGGTTAAAACCTCTGCTTTCGGCTCAGGTCATGATCCCAGGGTCCTGGGATCGAGCCCCGCATCCGGCTCTCTGCTCAGCAGGAAGCCTGCTTCCTCCTCTCTCTCTCTGCCTGCCTCTCTGCCTACTGGTGATCTCTCTCTGTCAAATAAATAAATAAAATCTTTAAAAAAAATATATATATATATATATAAAAATATGTAAATGTCATACATATAAACACAAGTATCTGTATGATAAGTTATCAAAAACCTGAAAAATTAATGTATCATTATTCCTCCTATAAGCACAATCATGTGCTGGGGCAGGGACCCTTAAGCTTAGTGCTGGTGGAATGAATTACTTGGCAGAGGGACTTCAATCAAAGATCAGTAGTTTTCTTGCACCGGGATTTTTTCCTTTCTTTTTTTTTTTTTTTTTTTTTTTTTTTGCACAAATCTATTCATTCACTTGTTGGGTAGATAAGTTAGTGTCTCCAAGACCCAGCTGACCCAACTGGGACTCAGGGTCTGGCTGTTTGCTCAGCTAATGGGCTGGTGACCCACTGGTATCTGTCCGTTTTAGTTGATAGGCTCAGGGCTAAACAAAGACTTTTGTTTGTTTTGGCCTCATGGGAAGAAAGGAGGTCAGAGGTAGGAGAATGGATGGTGTGATATATGTTCTCTGCTTGGCTCTGTGGGTGAATTTTGAATGGTTATGGTGAAAGATGTAGAACCAGGAGCCAAAGGATCTATTTTCACCAGAGACCTAAACTCTTGGCTGGGTGAGGCGCTCAGGGGTGCATGTGGCTTAGGGATGGGTTGGGTGGCATCTGGGTCAGCTTTTTGATAGGGAAATTGTGGCTTTAAAGCCCTGTCAGATAGCATTCTTGTTAGAAACAATGGTGACTCTGATAAGGTCTCTCCCTCAAGTGGTGTCTGGGGCAGGGAACCTGAATAAAGACGCTGAGGCAGAAAAATGACTGGGTTTGTTCCAGAGCACACATTTCTTGGGACTTTCGGAATACTTTGGGAAGATTTTGCAAGGGACCAGAAGTGTGGCTGGGCAGCTGGGGCATCCCATCAACAGAACTGCTTTTTTGTTTTGCTTTTTACTTCCTTTATTCTTTTACAAAATAGCAAGTGGTTTAGGACAATAGTTTCTTTTGTAACAACTATATTGAAATATAATTCCCATGTTCAAATAATTCATCCACTTGAAGTGTACATCTGAATGATTTTTTTATTGCATTCATGTCTTTATGCAATATTAAATTGACTTTTAATGTTATAATCTCTTTGGTGTAGACAAGGTGATGAAATCTAAGGAAAGCTGAGTTTGACTAAGACCTAGCTTGGTTTTGCTTGCTCTGTATTGCCTTGATGGAAGAAAGTATTTTTCCCAAGAGCTGCTGTCAAAGCTAACAGTAATAATAACAGTAATAATAAATGTAGCAGTAAAACAACTGCTACTTATGTTTCAGGTGTGTTAACCTCTTTGTACAGATTATATCATGTGATCGTCACAACTCAATAGTAGGTACTACTAGTCTCATTTTATACATAAGGGAACTGAGGTTTAGACTAGTTAAGAAACTTGACAGCTGTAAGGAGCTGAACCAAGATTTTATCTGTGAATCCTGCAAAACTTAGAATCAAACTCAGCTCCATGTCATTCTCCCAACTGTACCATCTACTAAAATTTCTATTTCTTATTGATCCCACACCTTTAATTCTCAGGTCATCTATTCAACAAAAAGAGTTAGCACAGCTTAAACCTGATAAACAGTAAGGCCTGTAATGGTAAATAGGATTCATCTTAAGGGCCAACTCCAATCAATGACGTGCCAATTAACGGAGTTCTGAGCTCACCCACTGGTACAGGCAGAAAGCCCTCAGGATTGATTGGTAATGTCTGGCATGGGTGTTGTGAGGGGATGGGCAGCATGTTTGTCAATCCTGAGAGTCTTTCCCAGTCTGAACACCCTCACTTCCCAGAAGCTGCCCAGTCAAATGTCCCTGGGGGCATAAACTTCTAGAAAATTGTTTCAAAATATCAGTGTTTGAAATAAAAACAGCATAATAAAATGTTTATATAAAGAAGAGAGGAATAGTAATCATTCACAGATACCACTTATCCACTGAAACCAGGCTTTATCTGGAAATGTATTTACAATTTTAAAATCTGAAAATAAACACAGTAACAGAGGCCCTAAGCTTATTTAGGTGTTTTCATAGGATGGAAAAAGGTGAAGAGGGCTCTTAATAGATTCTTAGAATTGCCCTAATAAAACACCACAAACTAGATGGCTTAAAACGACAGAAATTTATTGACTTAGAGTTCTGGAGGCTAGAGTCCAAGATCAAGGTGTCGGCGGGGCCATGTTTCCTCTGAAGCCTTTAGAGGAATCCTCCCTTGTTTAACTTCTAGTGGTTTGTGAGCAAATGGCATTCCTCAACCTACAGCTGTCTCACTCCAGTCTCTGCTCCATCTCCCTGTGACCATTTTCAGTGAGTCCTGGGATCGAGCCCCACATCGGGCTCTCTGCTCCGCAGGGAGCCTGCTTCCTCCTCTCTCTCTCTCTCTCTGCCTGCCTCTCTGCCTACTTGTGATCTCTGTCAAATGAATAAATAAAATCTTAAAAAAAAAAAAAGGACAGCCTGAGATACACATAAAATGTAGAAAACATATGTAAGTATTTGTTTAGATGTATACAATATCAACAAAGAATGAAAATCAGGATAAGTCCCTGCCCAGATAGATAGCCTGCTACGTCTGCTATTGCCCAGAGATGGGAAGGACCAGTTACAGCATCACCCAGCAGGGAGCTATTTAATGTGGGTTGTTGAGTGTGAAACAGTAGAACAGGTCACTCTAAGTACTCTCTGTGATGCCCGAATACAGGGGTATGGAATTTTTTCCCTAGTATTTAGAAGGTTCCAAGGACTCTGTCTCAAGATCCTCCAAGCTTAGCGCCAGCAAAGAGCCCCCTGATGTGTATGGCTGTGGCTGAAAACCTGGGCCATCCAGTGGGAGACAGACTTTTAATAAGGTGAGGTTGGCATAGCCTTACACATAATTCTCATTACTGTGTTATGTTAGTCACAATACATCATTAGTTTTTGATGCAGTGTTCCAAGACGCATTGTTTACATATAACACCCAGTGCTCCATGCAATACTTGCCGTCCTTAATACCCACCACATAATTCTAAGAGCAGCCTTTTGAGGTCCACTTTCTTCCTGGATTGTATTTTGGGAACTGGGATCAGTCTATGAACTTTATGCTTCCAGAATCTCCACCTAGAACTCTCTATTTAACATCTTGAGCAATATTAGGGAGAAACTTGAATATCTCAACCAAAAGCACCAGAGTCCTTGAAAAAATTTAGGACTTTTTTTTTTTCTATGCGAACCCCGGAAATCAGAGAGCCTTTCTTCTGTACTAATGTCTAAAGACAATTCCCGAAGTCTTAAAGGCAACAGAAATTAGTAAGCCTCAGACAAGATAAATGGGCCATTTTTTAGAGTTGTCCTAGGGACTTGGACTGGCCCAACATTAATCTCATCACACGACTTCGGGCTGTTACTGGTCTCCTTCCCAGAGTAGGTGAGGGCTCCTCAGAGAACTGTCCCACTACTTGCTGGCTCTTGCATGTGACGGGCAGCACTGATGTATACCTTTCGGCTCTGTTTTAGCTGCGTCCACACCCTCCGTCTTCTCCCGGAGCAGAAAGGCAATGTCATCTGAGGTTTATCATAGAACTCATCAAAGTAAAGGAAGCTTTATCTAAATTCTTTTCAGGAAACATAAGGGCCAAAAAAAATAAATAAATAAGCTCAGACAGCTCAGACCAAGTCTATTTGTGTCTGAGCTTGACTCATATGGCTTGATCTTTATTTTTCTTTCCTTAACTTGCTTGGACACGGATATGTGTTGTTGACACCGCCAATCTCGAGCAGAGTCAGGAGGAAGAGGAGGGTCTGGTGTCATTTGCGCCCCACTGACAACTGGTGCTCTTCACAGGTCTTCCACAGGAGAGGGATGTGCAGGTGGGTGTCTGACTCAAAACAGTCAGTTTGATATGTCCTATCTATATTTTGTTTCTGGAAGTAATAATATTAATATACATCCAAGAGTTCTAACATTGTCCTCTTGTCTGAGCCATGACGTAGGATTCCTGCCAATAATCCTATGGAGGCTTTGCCTGTTGCAGGCTAAGCAGCCCTGGAGCTCTAGTGCTTTTGCTTGGATTCCTTGTAGAGGATTGACACAGTCTCAACGTTTTGGTGACATGAAGAATTCCGGCTTCCTTGACTCTATGTTGCTCTCTTTCCGGGACACACAGAAACACTGAATTTCACTGTTGAGATCCCAACTAATCAGCTTCAGAGTGACAGTGAACTAAGGATCTCATCAGACAGGCTAGGGACCCTGGGAGCAGTTGCTCCCCAAAGACCCAGAGCCAGGCTTGCAATAAAACCATTTTTCCGGGGTGCCTGGGTGGCTCAGTGGGTTAAGCCTCTGCCTTCAGCTCAGGTCATGATCCTAAGGTCCTGGGATTGAGCCCCGCATCAGGCTGTCTGCTCAGCGGGGAGCCTGCTTCTCCCTCTCTCTCTCTGCCTGCCTCCCTGCCTACTTGTGATCTCTCTCTGTCAAATAAATAAATATTAAAAAAAATTTTTTTTCCTTGTGACTAAATGATATCTCTGCTGTGTGTTAAAAAGTTAGTCTGTGAAAAGCTGCACAAGTACAACATTGCTTTGTCTTACAGACTCTGTGACCCAGGAGCCCCCATATGTTCCATAAGCACTATCTGCAGCTGGACCCTCTGCCTCCAAGAGGCTGGATTTGTTACTTGCATCGACGGTGAGATGGTAGGTAACCTGTGGCATAGGTGAAGCCGGAGAAAGGTATGTAAGAGATAACCCATGTGCGCCAAAGTGGCCGTGCTTCGGCTTGCCTAGTTTCCAAATGTGGTGGTTCTGTAAGTCAGTCTATCTCTGGTGAAGCCACCAGGACCAAAGTTTGAAGCCTAAAACACTCTGAGGCTTCCTAGCAAAGCTTTTTGATTTTTTTGATTCTCTCCCTGCCACAGGCATTAGCATAACCTACTGAACTGTTACGTGAGGAGATGGTTGGAGAGAGGAGACAAGGCGCCGGAACAGCTATGGTGCTTCTCCAGGGACAAAGGCCTCAGCATCCAGACACCCTTAGGAGGGGGAGTGGCCTCTTCTTTAAAGCTTGGCTTTTGCGGTTCTTTTTGCCTGACAGCTTGCTTGACGTGAGGCATCATTCGCAGTTTCTCTGAATTATACCCTGTTAGTTTCCTTCTTGGCACTCATCCCCACCTCTCATTTTATCTGCTTTGCGTACTGACCATCTCCCCCAGATAAATAAGCCCCCAAAGCAAGGAACTTGGTTTCTTTTGCTCACCGCTGTATCATCATTGCCTAGCACAGCACCTGGCACTTGGTGGGCTCTCAGTAGCGTTATTTAATAAATGCTTTCTGCACTGCTTGCTGGTGGAGGAAGCCACTCTAGGCTTGCCAGGACCCACACAAGAATGCTGGTGTCAGCTGATTGGGCACAGTGGGGGCTGTGAGGCCGGAGAACTGGGCCAGTCAGAGGGCAAGTGGATGGGCCCAGGGGCACAGGCAGTGGAGAAGTTCGGAAGCCAGCTTCCCTCAGCCTTAGGATACCCAGTGGCCAGTGTTCCCCGGGAGCAGGATCCGGACTTATTTTGGGGGAAAGAGGCAAATGTCAACTAAATAAATTCACTGGGAATTTTATGAAAGCTCAAACAGCACCAGTACACACACATTCAGGGTCTGCCATGGGGCGCAGAACACCTGGGACACAGTGCACCGGCCTGACTTTCAGGTTAAGAGCTCTAGAGCTCCATACTGAGCTCTCTGATCAATCTCTTATTACACACACACTCACCATATAGCTAACATATTCTAGTACAGATATATCAAATATATCCTATGTAGGAGAGATGTATTTTAAAATATCAAAACAGAGAGGGAGGCAAACTGTAAGAGACGGCTAATCATAGGAAACAGACTGAGGGGTGCTGGAGGGGAGAGGGGTTGGAGGATGGGGTAACTGGGTGATGGGCATTAACGAGGGCACGTGATGTAATGAGCACTGGGTGTTATATGACTGATGAATCACTAAATTCTACCCCTGAAATGAATAATACACTATGCATTAACTAAATTGAATTTAAATTAAAAAAACTAAAATAAAATCAGTTTACTTACTGTGCTTTTGTGCTGGTGCCATAAGCCATACTCATTTGTTTCAGTAAAATTATTGCAGTTTGATTAAGTATTGCTTCTTACTGCCCCTCGAGTTTGGACTTTACTGTCCATCTTTCCTGTGACTGAACCAGCGCTTGGTGCCTCAGTCCCCACGAAACTTCTAGCCCAAGGTGACTGCTTGCTGTCTGAGCTTCCACAGCACTCCTGGGCTGCTCACTCATCTCCACGTACGCTGCACAGGTGTTTGACACCTGTTGGTGAGCCCAACTGTCCTGTAGCTCTTGTCAGGATAAGGAACTGCCCACTATGCGCTTTCTTCCCATCCAATAGCTAAAATCTTCAAGTACAAGAACCTACCTACCTGTCACAGATCATTGCACGTAGTAGCTGATCAATAAACATTTCTTCTCTGACTTATTTTTAAGCTATGCTTTGCCTGATTTCCAGAAGAAAGAAATCTTACCAGCCTCCTGCTTATCTCTCTTCAGACAATGCATGTAGGTCTCCCAGAGAGGAACCTTTTCCTTGGGCTATTCCCCCAGGCACCTTTCCCCCTCTGGCCTGGCTCCTTTGCTCCCAAGCACTTCTCACTTTTAATTTGCTATAAAGCTCGGGCCTGGTATCTAAGCCAACCTAGGGTCAAGTTTGACCCGGGAAGCTAACTTACAAAACTAGGGAAAAGAACCTATTTACATTACATTAAACACATCCCTTTCAGCTATTGATTTTGAAATCCTATCATAAAAGCAACCAGGCAAGGCTGGTAGGCTGGATTTCAGCATTTCCCTGCTCAGGTTCCGGGTCTCCACAAGCTGCCAAGAGCAGAGCAGCCCAATGCAGACTCCTCGTCTCTCAACCCTAACAGACCAGCTCCGTGGGAGCCCACGTGGCCTGACCTCGTCTGTTTCCCAGGGAGATCTGGTACAGGGTGTCCCACAGGTAACAGATGGAGCCTCCCAGCAAAGCATGAAGCCTCACGTGCATGTCCTTCCTTCCATCAGGAATCTTTTGACTGAGTAGGCAGGTGGGGAAGGAAGAGGCAGATGAGAAACCAGTGTTGGGTATCAGAGAAATTTAACTAAAATCTGTCATCCAGAAATTCCTCTCCACAAAATACAGGAAAGAATCTTTATCACCAAGCATTAAGGCAGGCTGTGATGCACCTCCCAGGCAGTCCACTAAAGAAATTGCAAAAATAGAACAAAACCTTACCCTTTTAGAGAACCAGGCTGATAGAACCTGTCTGCGTACATGTTCTCAAGGTAACTCAGATAAGACATGACAGCACTATTTGTCACACAGCACTTACTCCAAGTTCACCCGAAATTGGGGTGGCCATTTGTGTTAGCTAATTGCCTTCGGCCAAAGGAAAAATAAGCTTTTCCTGTCTCTTCAACAGCAGGTAATTTTACAACTTGGAGCCTGGCACCTAAGTTGAACCACTAGCATCGCTCCCCTCCCCCTGCCAGGGGCAGATCTTCCTTAATGTGTACATTTCAAAGAGATGGCTCCCAGGCCCTTGAGAAAAACATTTCTAGGTTGTAAAACTGGCTGGAGGCTCACTTCCTTTTAAAGAGATTTATATACATCTCAAAGGGACAGAGAAAGAATTTACAAGTTTTCTAAAGGAAATATCCTAAGAAAAGGGGAGCGGTGGTTTAGTTACCTCCCTTCCCTCACGTGGGGGGAGTACTGTGTCAGGAGCTCAGCAGGGCTCCAGCAAGGGTGGACATCCCTCAGAACTGATCCTACAGTTTGAAGAGACAAGACCCAAAGACCATAGGATGGGGTCACAATTTTTATTGGTTCTCAAGCTCACTGGCCTGCACATGAAGATTTGTAGTAAATGCTGGGTAAGAGAGAGAATGAACATAGAGACCCCAAGTCAGAAGGGGTCATTTAGCTCAGCCTGAATGCAGTCACCCCTATACCTTCAACCCTCCTTAAACACCAGCAGAGCTGGGCACCTTACCACTTCCTAAGACAACCCATTTCACCATTGGACAACTGTAATCATTAAAAATTTCCCCACATATTCATAAGGGGGGGAATCAAAATTAGAGAGTGTTTTCAAAGCCAGGTACTTCTCCACAGTAACCCCAAGGAGCAGCTATCTTGCCCTCTGTCACAGATGACGGAACTTAAAAACAGAGAGGTCAACTAAAAGCCCAAGGTCACACAGATAAAGGAAAAGCATATACTGTGTTTCAGTAGCCACTCATTTAAATGAAGATCCTGTTTTTACTTAGAAGATTTAATAATAAACAATATTACAGTATGTTGGGATGGAGCCGACCCCCTTATCTCCCAAGGAATACAGCGGCCAGCCAGTTCTAGCTGCCTTGGACCCTCGTGGTTTCTCAGGGATACTGAATGGTTTTTCTCAGTCAGTGTTTCCACTGGGAGCTCTGGGCCAAGTTGCAAACCAGCACACAGGTTGTTTGTGCTGTTCTCCCCCACCCCCAGAGGGGAAGCAACACCAGAGGGTGAACCCTCAGGGCTTCCTCCACCCTCTAGGAATACCACTGACCATGGACTTCCAAAAGCAGCCAGATGTGTGGGCCAAAGTCACCGTGAATGACACCAACATGCTTCAGGTGGAAAGGAGTCCCAGTGGGCAGTGATGAAGAGAGAGGGAAGACAGGACAGTGAGGTGAAGATAGGTATCTTTTTATTTATTTGTTTGATAAATATTTAAGTGCTTATTATGGGGCAGTTTTTACAGTGCTCACCGTCTGAGGGGAGAACTCCTGTGTAGCCCTTGTTACGTGTTGGGCTTGGTGGTTATTACCCCCATTCAGTCCTCACAACACACCCATGAGGTTGATGCTCTTACTGTCTCCATTTCACAGACAGGCAAATGGAGGTAAAGGAAGGTAACAGAGCTGGCACCAGACCACAAAGTTCGTGAGTGACAATGCTGGAATTCAAGGCCAGCAGTCCTTTCTCCCAGTCCGCAGTCATAACCTGCTCCCCTCCTGGGCCAAGACAAGTCACAGGATAGGTGTTCTGCCACGGGAGCCAGAGCCCCGTGGGAGCTCCTGGGAGGGCATGGTCTGGTCTGGTTTGAGCCCACACTGCTCAACTACGCTGTGCGTGTCTGGTTTTAGTCAGACCAACGTATTGCTTGCCCCCACCAGCCCCATGACTAGTACCAGGTCACAAACAACAAAAGATCCGAGCAGAAACAATGACTAAACACCACATACCCATGTCCATAAACAGATGGCTATGGATGCCCGCCTGCATGGCCTCTTTGTGGCCATGCACTTTCCAGGCATCTTCCAGATGGGAGAATAGCCACTGCCCTCAGCCTACACCAGATTTAATCGACCTGTGAATGCTGCAGAAGGGAAGGGAGGAATGAAGGCTAATTATACCCCTGTTCTATGCCTAGGTCCAAAATCTTCATGATGAGGGCATGGCATCCTGCACCACAGTCCCTGATCTAAATTTGGCTTTGGAGGGACTCTATGGAAAACAATTGTCCTGAAATTTAGAGAACTAGATTAAACCGGGACTGAATCCGCCTAGGATTTGTGGTGGCTGACTATCCCCAAAGGCCCCAGGAAAACCCATGATGTGGGGACAACCCTGACTGATTCTAGATTCCAGAATACTTGGAGCTTCCAGGGACAGATCTGAATGAGGCCAACCCAACCACTCATGAGTGGCCTGTGCAAAGTGTGGACGCAGCCTCCACAATGGAGAAGATCACTTCGCAGCCTGAGAGCTAGCCTTGAATCTCATTTATTCATTCATCCATTTGTCCACCTGTCTGGCTGTCTATCCATCCATTCAACAGTATCAGAGAATCAATCCCTGTGTCAGATTCTGGGGCTGCCCTCCAGAAGCTTCTGGTCTGGAATAGGAGAGAGATCATTGTAAAAACAGATCATTCGAATAGAAAGTGACATGAGCAAAGATAATTAACAGGGGAGAAGACCCAAGTCTACCTGGTATATCAAGGAGATTTTTCTCAAGAAGGTAAAAAATTGAGGGTTAGCATTTAGAATGCTTTTGGCATGTTGATAGAGAAATTTTGATTAAGAAAATTTAAGTTTGTATTTTCTATACCTGTATTTTATTTTTCTAGTCATTGTACTTTATTATGTACTTTATTATGTATTATGTACTTTATCATGTTTTACAAATGTATTGGTCTGTGATGGATTAGAAATTAATGACAGCTTTTGCTGCAGACAGTTTGAGAAGTGCTGCTCAGTTTCCTTATCTGTACGATGGGGCTAATCATAGGACCTACTCATAGAGGTTTTGTGAGGATTAAATGAGCCCTCAGCACAAATGCTGACATAGAGGGAACAGGCTGGAAGTGTTAGAAGTTCTTGTGGCTAATGTTACTAAATTGGTAAATTGGTGAGAAAGGGAGAGGGGTTTAGAGGCAGGGAAATCAGGTCCTGGTGTCCTGAATAAACTAGGCAGGAGACATTCCAGGCTTCAGCCATGGTGGTGGGAAGGCTTCATGGAAATAGATGAAGAAGTTCCAAGATACTTAGTGAGTGGGCTCTGGGGGGCTTTTGGGACCAGTCAGATGTGGGCATGAGAGTCATGAAGGAGTCTTGGAAGACTCCCAGGTTTCT